GCGGGGCGGGCGGCCAAGGGGGGGGGGGGGCGGGCGGGCGCGCGCCACATTGGAACGCGGGGGCGGGGCCGCGCGGGGCGATCCCGGGCGGCGGCACCCGCGGGATCCCGGGGAACACGGGGTGCTGGGAACACGGGATCTCGGGGAACACGGGGTGCTGGGGACACGGGGTCCAGGGGAACACGGGGTGCTGGGGAACACGGGATCTCGGGGAACACGGGGTGCTGGCGACACGGGGTGCTGGGGAACACGGGATCTCGGGGAACACGGGGTGCTGGGGACACGGGATCCAGGGGAACACGGGGTCCAGGGGACACGGGGTGCTGGGGACACGGGATCCAGGGGAACACGGGGTCCTGCGGGACACAGCACCCCTGGGAATCCCAGGGAACACAGCACCCCGCGGGACAGGGGCACCTCGCCTGCAGCATCTCCCGTGTACGGCGCCAGGGCAGAGCTGCCTTTGCGCTGCTCAGCCAGGATGCTCTCTTAGCTGGCGCAGAAAAACTCCAGATGCACTTTCTTGGGCCTTCTTCCCTCTGTGTGTTTGGGTTGTTTTTTTAAGTTACAAAATTTCTCAAGTTTCTTTGCAAGTGGTCCTATATCACTTATACTTCGGAGGAATGGAAGATGCCTCCAGAGTACCCTTTCAGATCCCTGCAAAAAAAAAAGCTGGCCTGTGGGCAAAACTGTTGGCTCAGTGTTGCTTCCTCTTTTTCCTGTGATTAATGCCTCTCATTAGTGGGAGGAGAACTGGCAGAACCAGCTTAAAAAATACCAGCCTAACTGTAAGACAGGATTGTTTTCCAGCACTGCAGGTGTGTGCAGCGGTTTGTTGAGCAGCAAAGGAGCCCCAGCCCGAAATATCCAGCAGCCCCTTGGATCCAGTTCTGCCAGCAAGGTGTAACTCCCTGTGAGACTGGCGGAGCACGGGCTTGCTGCCTGGGTTGGGCTTCACGTCCCCTAAATTTCCGTTTGTCTAATGACCAAGACTATAAGCAGTGAAAGTGGAAAGGGAAATGAGTCTCCTGACTTTCTGATGAATTGTGTATAAACCCCATAGCAAGCTGCCTGATGAGGATGGTGTGCTTTTGCTTTTCAAGTGCAAGCTGCAGTCAGAAACAAAAGTATTGAGATGAGTGCTTGTTCTTGCAGGGGGTGCTTTTGGACCAAAGGTGCTCCTGCTCTAGAAGGAATAGTTTAGCACAGGACTGAGTGGCTGAGTCTTGAAATACATGCAGCCTGCAAAGAGTTCAAGTGTTGGTGTGGCCAAGGACTGTGTTAGCAAAGGAGGGCTTGGCTGCTGGAACCACTCACCAGGGAGGATTTGAGGTAGCCATGGGAGGTGCCGAAGTTTGCCCTGGCTCTTGCCTAAATGCTGAATTGACTGATCTCGCAGCAGCATGGAGTAGCAGGACCAGGGCAGGTCATGGTTCCCTCCTGCCCAGGAGTCATGTCCAAGGCTGCTGCTCCTTCCAGCTCTTTGTGGAGCATGAAGCAAGTCCTGAAGCTCCTGACTCAGTGCTGGATTTGGTGTGGGCTCTGGTTTTAGGATACTAGCCTGTTGTTCCTCCAGCATCTTTGTGGACCATGCATGAAGCATGGTGCTTTCTGGCACAGTTTATGGGGGATTCTCATTGTGACCCTTACTGGTCACTGATAGCAATTACTTGCACTTTTTTCGCAAGGGAAAGATCATTACGAGGGTAATACCTGATTTTAAATAATGACGACAAAAGCAAGGACTTTCAAACTGGATTTTTTATGAACTCATCTTAGGTCCATCTTAGTGGGATGGGGGCAGCTTGTTGCTCATATTCCTTGCTGGAAAGCGATGGAACTGCTTGAAATTGTAAGGGTTGAACATTGCACAAGGAGCCTGAAGCAGGGGGGCTCCTGTGCTGCAGCAGGCTGGCCTTGCAGTGAGGGGAAGTTGCCACTCTGAGTTAGGAATCAAAGTGTGTATATTAATGAGAAATACAACAAACCCAGGCAAGAGAGGTATTTGGTCTTTTTATAGAGAATACTGTGTACACTTTATCCTTCTGGTTTTTTCCTTTAATATTCTTTTTTTCTTTTCGTAACTTCTTTCTCATGCTGGTTAATTCACAAGTGGCATTGTGGGGTTTTAAGTTGGTTTTTCTTTTTCCCCATGTCCATTTATGCAAGAGAAGTATATGCTGTTACCTAATTCTTTATTCTTAAAGATGCTGTTAGCAAGGTCTGTCCCTTGGTGCTACTAAACCATTTCCAGGGCTCTTAAAATGCTGGCTAATATTTATGACATTTTGGTGTATTTGAATATTTCAAATCATTACTGCCAATCTGGTGGTGTTACATGGATGTGAAAATTTGCATGGAGAAACTCAATGTAGTCCGAAAGACAAAATGGTTTGGGTTTTTTATTGTTGTGGAGTTTTTTTTGTTTTGTTTTTGTTTTTTGTTTTTGGGGTTTTTTGTTGGTTTTTTTGTTTTTTGTTTTTTTAATAATTAAATAATAATACTCTAGGGTAACTTGGGAACCTTCAGAAGGAGGAAATAAGCTGCTAAAACTTCATCTGAAGGTACAAGGCTGGGTAGCAGTGAGAAGTAATGACTGTTGTTCCCAGTGGACTAAGTGCAGGTGGGAGCTTCTGATGCCTCCTCTGCACTAGGAATATGTGTATCTGAGACCTGTGGTTTTCCTAAGTGAAGCCAAAACAAGCAAATATCACTTCTGCTCTTCAGTTTGCATTGTGTCTTTCTGGCATTTTAGAGAAATCTGGAGTCAGCATCAGGGTTTGCTTGATGTATCTTCTTGCAGCAGTGCTGAGTTGTCTGATCTGTTCTCTCACGTGAGCACAGACCCTTCAGACCCTGGGGCTGAGAGCTGCTTGAGCCACAGGTGTAGCTGGTGAAGGGGAGTCAGCACAGGCAGAATCCACTGGCACTGAGCAAGGGGCAGAATTCCTGCTGGCCTGCGACTGGGCTGCCCTGCTGGGGGATGCTGGCTTTGCTGATTCACGTTTCTCCCCTTGTCATGCTTGTGGCGTTTCTCATTGTAGGCTCATCTGTACAGTGCTCCTGCCTGAGGCTCTCTTGTAGTGGGTGAAGTTTCTTGGACCAGAGCTCTTGTGCAGCTGCACACAGTTTTAGTTCCTCCTCTTGCACTGACCCCTCTGCAGTAGTGGAGTGAAGTAGGCTTTTATTTCACAGGGTTTTCTGTTCTCCCTGTGACCTCTTCTCTGCTACCAAAGGTGTTTTTAAATAAAGCCTCTAGAGAAATGTTCCTTCTAAAGCTACACAGTAAAATGTGGCTTTTCAGGAATTCCTGCAAGTTAAACTTGTCTGTGCAAGTGGATTCCAGTAGCAAGTCCAACCACCCTAAGAAAAGCAGAAGACAAGGTGAGAGGTTCGTGTCATCCTGTATGGCAGCTTCAGAAAGAAGATGAGGGAGAAGTGCTTTGGAAAGGGAAGAATTTTGCAGGCCAAAGAGCAATAGAAAACAGAGCAGTCCTGTGACATCTTTGAAAGGTAGAGGCAGCTCAGGTGGATGAAGAAACCTGGTGGGGAGGGCAACACAAGTATCCCATGCTGGAGAAGTTTTTCTTTTTAATGCCCACCACGTAAGGGGCAATACTGATAGAAAAGACTGTGAGAATTGAGAGCAAAAAAACAGATGAAGGAGAAAATTTTGGCTTGGCAACTAGAATCACATTTTCCATGTGGTTTTTTTAGAAGTTTGGTCGCTGTCCTCTGCACGTAGGCTTTGAAGTTCAGCTAGAGTTGAAGGTGGTACTAGCACAGTTATTTTTCCAACTTTCATCCTGAGCTCTTCACATAAGTGCAAGAACTTATGTTTCTGCAGAGACAGTCAAACAATTAAAAATACTGACATTTAAACCTTTGCTGTTGTTTCTTGGTCATGGCTCCATTTGTGGGAGCAGGATAATTTGTATCCTTCAGGGCTGTTGCTGAAGGGCTCTTCTGTCTGCAAGGCTGGGAGGCACTACTCTGGCAGTGCTGGGGCTCAGAACAGTTCCTCTGCGGTCAGAAGGTAAAAGCATTATAGCTGTAATTTAAGGTTTAAGCTGCAGAAACTGGCAGCCTCCAGCAGTCAATCAGTAATGCGTACTGCAGA